TTAAGTGCTACTGAAATGCACAGTTCAGTCTTTATTTTGAAATCTCTCCTGTCTACTGTCTCTCTTCCATTATTTTGATTACCTTGATGGGACATTCAAGCTGTGCAGCCTTAGTCTTTTATTTCCACAGCCTACACAAGCCAGTTTGAAGATTAACTGTAGGTGAACAGGTAGTTTTATCTACTTGGCCAGAAATCACCCATCCAGATGAGACACATGTCAACAGAGGCCCCATAGACTTGGGCACCTGCGAGAAGGTAACTTAAATCTTGTGGCATTTTAGTGGAAACCAAAGTGAAAAGTCAGAAAGTTTGACTTATGGGAGGCAGGGCATGGGTATGGGAGGTGGCAGGGAGTAGAGAGAGAAAGAGGAGTGTGTGTGGATGTATTTAAAGAGGAGAGTCCAGAGGTACACAGTGAAGAAGAATTGTGAATTCAGGAAATCTTCAGAGTTGAATTACAGAATCTTTGTTCCGAGAGGGTGGTTACTGGGGAATAGGACGTGAGCCTACTAGTCACTTCATTATGAAGCTATGGGAGTTGTTTATGTGATGGAGTTGGAGGACAAGGGCCTGTCCCTGCCCTTCTTCTGTATTAACAACTCAGGAGAGAAAATGAAGAAATAGCTTTGTAAAGGAAATTACACTATCAGACGGTTCCCACATTTCCATCGCCAGGTTTCTAAATTGAGCTGCCCAGGATAGCAGATTGGTCACATTGCTGACTTCCTTTCCCCCCATCTTGTTATTAGGGCCTCCCACTGTGTCCTGTCAGCTTAGGATTCTTCCTTTTCCCATAGGCTTGCTACTTTTTCAATTCCCTGACATTTAGGGATCTAGTATTTCACTGTGACTGAGGTAGGCAGTTGCTGTACCCTCGATATTGGATACCCTTTTGAACTATTACACTGCAGTGGATAATCAAATGCCCACAATTACATTATAGACCAGATTCTGGTCACTGTACCATCAGGGACAGACTCACGTCACGTGCCCTCACACAGCTGGTTGGGGGGTGGGGGGGTGTTGTTTTGCAGCAAAGTGCTGTGAAGCAGGTTCCCACACCTGAACATGAAAGTGGCTCGTTAAAGATTAAAAGGACTTCCTGGTCCTTCTGGCCCCAAGATGGAATGATCTCCGGCATGGCGACAGCCTCTGTCTCCCAGGAGAGGCCATTTTATACAGGAGGTTTGTGCTTCCAAATGTTACAGTAAGCCTGCATTGGCTGATGCTGTGGTGATAAGTTGGCATTTGGGTACTCTCAAGACATATGAGCTATATAGCATCCCATGGTTTGAATTTCTGGGCAAAACTGCCTCATCAGGAAGTCAAAAGCCTCTACTTTCAACCTGTGCCTTTTGGGAGGTTTTATCCTTTGTTTTATTTGACTATTCTGTTGAGTCAAGTGAACTTTAATCTTTACAGCCATAAAAATTCCATTAAGCCCCTTGTACTGCATCCCAGGTGTGAAAGTGTCTCAGAATAATGACTGTGGGTGACAGCTAAAATCCTTGAGTAGTTAGGGTAATAATTGTCTCTGGAGGCTTGAAGAAAATAATGGTCCAGTTGACAAAATAAATACAGTTCAGTTGTTGTATACTTGGTGATTCTTGTGGGTAAGAGGACTAATGTCTGTGGCATACTCAAGGAGACTGTGGCTCATTTTGGTGGTCTTTGAAACACAACTTTTCATTTTATTGTAAACAGTGCTCGGGGAACATAGCTATATGACTGGTATCTCAAAATACTTGAGTCCCACCTGCATCAGAATCATGTGGGAGCAGGAGATGATTATTGAAAATTCTGATTCTGGGGCCTCTCCACTTGGGCTAATCCAGAATTTCTGAGGGACTCGGATGAGAAAGAATTATTTTCAGTAGGCACCCCTGTGGATTCTTAAGTACCCCTAGAGTGGATTCTTGAGTATCCTAAAATTTACTCATTTTTCACATTTAATTTCTGTGATTTATTAGACGATAGATGTTTGATTGATGCTCATCTGTCTTTTTTGAAGGGGAGGTACTCTAGTTTTTTAAAAAAGGTTAGAAGATCCTAGAACTCCAAAGATGAGAATTTGGCAATGTCCCTAATACTCAACAAGCTGAGGCAGCCACTGGTTTCTGGAGACTTGGATTTATCAATTCAACCTCTTCTCCATAAGAGAAAGGATATGGACATTAATAAGATTAATTTTGTTGAAAAGAATAAATGTGCAGTATCCTTTAGGATGTTGGGGAGGGGAAAGTAGGTAAAAGGGAGATGATTAGAGGAAAAAGTGAGAAAGGGAAAAGATTAGTTAATAAATGGTAAAACGTTTAACCCAGTTTTAAATTACCGATACTTGGGGTGCCTGGGTGGCTCAGTCGGTTAAGCATCCGACTTCAGCTCAGGTCATGATCTCACAGTCTGTGAGTTCGAGCCCCGCGTCGGACTCTGTACTGACAGCTCAGAGCCTAGAGCCTGCTTCTGATTCTGTGTCTCCTTCTCTCTCTCTACCCCTTCCCCGCTCATGCTCTGTCTCTCTCTCTGTCAAAAATCAACATTAAAAAATTAAAAAAAAAAAAAAAATTACCAATACTTGAATACGTGTTCCTTGTTAAAACAAAAAAATTCAAATTCTCGCGAAACTAAAAATACCTCCTGGGTCTCCCATTGCAGTTCCCTCCCTGATGTGTGTATCCTCCCATATCTTTTTGTATGTATTTGGTAATTCTCTATGGATTTGGAAGATGACAGAATCCAGAGATGTGAATTTTTTTTTCTCTTTTGACACCTGGCTTACTTAACGTTTGTAACGTTAAGATCTCTTGCAGAAAAAAAAGGGGGGGGGCTATAAATAGCATTACATATTCCTGTTCAAGAAAAACAGTGAGTGTGAGTGTGTGCAGATATCACACACACACACACACACACACACACACACACATATACATACACTTAATCTCTCCTGTGACCACCCATAAAATGTACCTTTAGGTGAGGAATAACTTGTCTGAGTTTTAACATAATGCATTGAGAGAACTTAATAAGCACAAAGCCACAATTATTTTTCTTATTTCTCATTTTCATATAACCTCCTAGTTTTCATATAACCTCATAAAACTTCAAGTGCCTGAAGCCATTTGTTCAGATTTAGCATCTTTTGAAAGCCCTAAATCAGTGTAATCCTCAGCCTTTCCAGTCTAAAAGAAGGAACTGGGATGGGTATGTATGGTTATATTTTGGGGAAATTGATTGGAACTGTATAGAATCCCAAACCAGGAAATGATAATCTGCCATATTTCTCTTCACCTGCTAATGGTGTTTATTTTAGCAGAATTAGGAGATTCTCATGCTTCTGGCCCCCGTGTTGCTGTTTATATAATTTATATTTACTTCCTGGGTATAGTACCATCTGAATTTTCTCTTCCTTTTTTACAGTTACTAATATAGAATGAGCCAGAAGCCTCTAACAATAATGTTTTTTCCAAAAGAGGTTTCATATTTGTCCATTACTGTACGAACCTTGAGAGTTGCTCCATACCAGAATGTTGTTTATCATCAACTACAGAAATATTTCTTAAAATGTGGTCCATGAGATAATGGTTGTCAGCTGCTGTAAAACACTTTTATCATTTGAAAAGAACTAATTAACACATACTGTAGGAAAACTTCTTTTAAACAGCCATTTTCTGAAAAAGAAAATGCTGAAAGGGAGGAAATAAAAGAGAGAACATTTTATAAAACCTTATAAAGCCCAGTGTGGCTATCCTACTGGAATAATGTAATTAAGGGGAATTAAGCAAGTTGGATAAATAATTTTTTTTTTTCTTTAACTAGACCCTTGAAAAGGAATAGAATTAAGTAGCATAGTTATTAAACCCAAAATGTGACGGTCTGCACATACATTTTAATTAACCTAATAACATTTACTGAATGACAGGCTGGGCTGGTAGTTATATCCAGAGTTCATAGCATGTGGGATCTGCCTTGAAGGATGGACAAGGCTTGGAATGGGAGCCTTGAATGCCCATGCTAAGGAAGAGCTGGTAGCCGTGGGAAATTTTGAGCAGGCAACAGAAGGATCTGATACGAAATCTCGTTTCTTTCTTATCAAATGAGAAAACACAGAAAGCAAGGGCTTAATCTTTTGTTTTCTTGGTATAGCACCAAAGCCCGTTCTAGCTGGTCAGGGCAAATTCAATAATAATTAATAGCTGTTGATGAACCAGTCATTCTACAATTGATTATTTAATAAGCTGGCCAATAAATGAGAATCGACCTAGATTTAGGGATTTTTAAATGTAAGTGGTAATACAGTTTTCACACACTCCTGTATTCCTTAAACATCTGGTAGGTGTGCTGGTGGATAATGTAGCTTAAGCTGTGTGTGGCAGCTGATTAAACAAAAAAGCCTTCAGTTATTTCTGTCTTAATTTGAGATTTTGAATTGCCTAAGGAAATAGAAAGTTCAGAGAAGGCCTAGTAGGGAAAAAGAAGAGTGAGCCTGGTCATAGCTGACAAATTCACTCTGATGATTTGACCAGCTAAGGATGACTGGGCAAGTTCCGGAGTCCTCTGACCCAGATGTTCTAATTTGTAAATGCAAAGTGACTTCTTTATCAGCCACTCTGGAGAAATCTTCAGGGCTGTGAACCTGCTACCTTCTGTAATCTTGCTGCCCTGAGCCCCGGGCTGTTCTCAAATGAAACTTTGGAAAGTGACCACTGGAGCCTCCCAGGTAAGGGCTCCAGAGGCAGCCGAGCGACCAGCAGGAGGGCCATGAGGAAGCTGCCCCTAGTAATCAGCACTGGATTTAAAAAAAAAAATCAGTGGGGCGCCTCTTCTTTTTCGAGGTTGCACTTGATTGTGGTTGGCTCAAGCTGGGTTGTTTGGGAAAGAGGAGTTTTGCCTAGCATGAGTCAGCACTGCCCTGGGTAAACCGCCTGCTCTGTTGCAATCTCGCTTACCAAAGATACGTCCCCAGGCGGCACCATTCACTCTGCCTGAAAGCTGCTGCTGTTGGCTCCTGAGATGAGCTCATCTGAAATGGCTCCAAGGACCTCAGCGGCAGGAACTGGAGGCAGCCTGCTCTCTGCTGTGGTAATGTTTTGAAACAGGCAAAACCAGGTAACCCCAGACTGTTTTCTCTTAGTTTCATTTTCATCAGCTAGACTGAGCTGCAGGACGAACTGGGCCAGTCCTTTGTCTCAGAAGTTCGTTAATGCCTTAACAATTTGGATGTCTTAAAGTCAGTCCTTCAGTCCTTTGGAGGGGGTCTGAAGGGGAGAAGTTTCACTTCATTTGGGATCTGGATGTGGTTTTAGACCTAATTAGACCATTTATTACAGAAACCTTAGAGAAGCCAAACACATCAGGCTTACAGCTTTATCCATCTTTTGCTCTTATAGTTTCTGTCCTATGTTTTTTGAGAAGCAGTTTGGTCAAACTGAACCGTTATTAAAGGAAGAGAGAGAAGCAAAGGTATTTTATTATCTACCTAATCACTGGGAATATCGAATTATAGGGAACACTGTCTTATCAGTGAGTTTCCATATTTCTGAGGTACTATGAAGCACCTCTCTTCATCCCTAATTCTGATCAGACTACTATTCTCTCTCCCTCCTGCTCTTCACTTCTAACCTTGTTTAAAAAAAAATTTTTTTTTTAATGTTTATCTATTTTTGAGACAGAGACAGAGTGCAAATGGGGGAGGGGCAGAAAGAGGAAGACAGAATCTGAAACAAGGCTCCAGGCTCTGAACTGTCAGCACAGAGCCCGATGCGGGGCTGGAACCCATGAACCGTGAGATCATGACCTGAGCCGAAGTCGGACGCTTAACTGACTGAGCCACGCAGGCGCCCCTCTCTTCTAACCTTTTTAAGTCTTAAGTCTCAATGCTAGGCAGTTGCCCCTCACAAAGTTTGCTTCTGCTCCTTCCAGTTCCCCCCAAGTGGCGCATGTTCTTTTACCTCAGGCCTTTAAGGCCTTTACATAAGCCAGCCGTCTCTAAAACACCCTGCCCCAACTTAACCTAGCTACTGGCTTTAGCCTGGAAGTCACTTCTTCCACAGAGTCAGAATTTACATTGACCATAGGGTATATCAAGAATCACCGTCTGTTTTCTTAGACTTCTGTCCATATTACTTGGCACATGGTTTTCAGGGTAGAATGAGGAAGAACGTATAGTGTACTTCCTCAGCTCTGATCCTCTTACCAAACCGTTTGTTATTTCGGCTTCTACCCACATTACCTTGCTCGTGTTTTCCTGAAGAACCCAAGTAAACTCCAGATTACCAAACCCAGTGTTGTGGTTTTAGCCTCCACCTTACTTAATCTCTGCTTGGCATGTGGCAGTGTTGAACCATTCCTTCCCTGCCACCCCCAACCCTCTTCATTTGGCTTTGAGGCTACCTTGTCTCTTCTGAGTTTCTACAGTGTTCTTCTATTATTTCTTTGTATTCTCTTTTGACTATCCCATAAATGTTGAGATACTCCAAGGCTTTGCCTTGGGTGTCTTTCCACTCTTCCCCGTAGCTTTACTCCAAGGATCTCAAATATACCCATAAATTCAGCTATCCTCAGTATGTCTTACCAACCAGCTGTCTGTCCCACGCTTCAGATCCTTATTTCCAACTTGATAGACTTTGTCCAACTTGACAAACCTACCAGAGTGTTCAAAAGGCATCTTAAATTGTTAACATACATTATCTCCACTACCCAGTATCAGTTATCTGCTTGTATTGCTGTAGGTTTGAACTCTGTTAATGATGTCTACCAAATCTTCCTATTCATACTTCTTAATGCCTCACATCATCTAAATATGCTAAATCCATGGTTGCTTAAACCCTTTTGATTGTATTATTGGAGTACTGTTTCATGTGTGGTTTTCCTTCATTTCCACTGTATTGCATTACTGTACCAGAGGTCAGAAAGTAGACATTTTGTTTAACCAGTCCAATGGCTTAAAATGTGTGTAAATAGTTTTAGGCAGGGCCTGCACTCTTCAATGATTACAGGTAACTGGGATGCCTGGGTGACTGAGTCATTTAATCGTCCGACTTCAGCTCAGGTCATGATCTCACAGTTCATGAGTTTGAGCCCCACGTCAGGCTCTGTGCTGACAGCTCAGAACCTGGAGCCTGCTTCAGATTCTCTGTCTCTCCTCCCCCTTCCCTGCTCACGCTCAGTCTCTTTCAAGAATAAATAAACATTT